AAGCAAGAAGAACACAGCAATGATAATAATAATAATAACGTTAACAATAATAATAATAATAATGTTTTTAAATATTGTCAAAATAATATTAATAATATGTAGTTAATTAAATAAATTAATTCGCGCTTCTCGGCTGAGCGTTGATATTTACCTTAACAACCATAATATAAACAATCTCGCCGTTAAAAAAAAAAAAAAATTTTTTTTAATTTTAAAAATCGCGTTTTATATTGTTTATAGTTATTAAATTTACTTTATTGGTTTTCTGTTTTAATTAAATAATTTATATAAATTAATAATTACTTGTTCCTTTATATCAAATATCTTACATACCTTATATATAATGCACTGAAGATGAGTTATTTATAACTCGAAATAGCTATTAGCAAATTTATTTAATAAAAATTTAAAAAAAAACAATAAAATGTCTAATTTCTCGGAAATTAATAAATTAAAAAGAAATATGAAAAAGTTTAACAATGTTGAAAGTAGTGTTGAATTTTTGAAATATATGTATATATATGTATATATATATATATATATATATATATATATATATATATTAATCGCACTTTATAATTATAACGAACGTGACATCACATTAAAACATGAAGGTAAAGTGGTTGGTAAAGGGCAAACCTCGCCTTTTGTTAAACTATCACGTTCAATGTAATATGTATATGTAGGTTTACATAGTCGTTGCTAGGATGCCCCCCCCATCTTATAACACATACAACATACATTTAAGGGTAACTGCCATTAGGATATACGACGGTGTAACGAGAGAATTATAGTTATAATATAATAATAATAATTATTATTATAATAATAATTATTATTATAAAATGGAATACGCATGTCTTATTGTTATTATTATGGGTATAATTTAATATTATTAATCTCGTCATTAAAATATGTAATAAAAAAAAGTAGAACAAATTAAGTGTAATCGAAATTGATATTGGAATATTAACATAAGAGAGAGAGTGAAAGAGAGAGAGAGAGAGAGAGAGAGAGAGAGAGAAAGAAATAGAGAAAGAAAAAGAGAGACTAAATAACTACATATATATACGTTTGTATGCATAAATTAATATCGGCAAAATTAACGATAATTTCATCACCAACATCGTCAATAACAACGTCATCATTATCATCATCATCATTATTATTAAAGAATCATTATCACCATGGCCCTTACTTCAATCATATTGAAAAGGTAAAAGAATATCATACGAAGGTTGTGATGTGAATACAAAGAAGCAGAAGGATGAATGAATATAAATATTATATTATTATTATCATTATTATTATCATTATGTTATTGGAACGATATTACAAATGAATTTTTAAAAGAATTATAATCATGAATGAATGAATGAATGAATGAATAATAAATGAAAGAATGCACGAAATATATCACATCAATCAACCAATCAATCAATCAATCAACCAACCAATCAAACAATCAATCAATTATTTTTTTTGATATATTTTCATTATAACATAATGCTATACGTGTACATGCCTATTTCCAAATTCTTTAAAACATAAATCTATATATATAACGTCAACTGATGAGTGCAACTACAATGAATATGAATGAAGTGAATGGATGAATGAATGAATAGATGAATGAATGGATGGATGAATGAATGAATGGATGGATGAATGGATGGATGGATTGATGAGTGAATGGAATAAGGGGATGAATCATCAAAAATGAACAAATGAGTGAATGAATGGATGAATGAGTGTGTGTAAAAATGAAAGGTATTACAAACAGATGCGTGCAAACTACAAACTATAAAAAATTAAAATCGAAATGAATTTTTAAACAATAAAATTGAATGAATGGATGAAATAGCTGATGATTAATAACAACAATAATAGTAATATTTAATAATTAAAACTGAAAAAAAATAATAATCACAACAATAATGATACTAATGAGAAACGTCGGTCAAGTGCATATCATATACAATGTTAACCTTCTGTTAAACAAACACAAATACACACACACACACACACACATACATACGAATGTATATTTGGTTTTATATACAATGTTAATCTTCTGTTAAACACACACACACAGACACAAACAAACACATACATACGAAAGCATATTTGGCATTGTAAGAACCCAGCGATATAGCAGAACAATACAATTCTATCTATATATAGCACAAGAACATCACATTTATATCTCCATACAAATTAATGTATTCGCATGAAAGAACAGTTTCACACACACATACAAACACATACACAAACAAACACACATACAATCAAAAACACACACACACACACACATAATGGAACGCCAACGTTACTAGAGCAACGACAAACGAAATTGCTCGAAGCGAGAATACAAATCATTATTGATACATACATGTACTCGCACACATGTATATTCAAGCATGTAAGTATGTATGTATGTATGTATGTTTGTACGTATGTATGTTTGTATGTATGTTTGTATGTATGCATGTGTGTATGTTTGTATGTATGTTTGTATGTATGTTTGGATTTATGTATATTGTCTATACAAGTGAATATGAATAGAAACAAAACTGCTTTATGTAAAGGATTTTATTTTTTTTTTATAGGTCAACAATAACTTTCCATTTGAGCATTATGACGACGACGACGATGATGATAATGATGATTGGTGTCACGGTAATATTTAATAATTAAAACCATCATCATCGTCGTCATCATCATCATCATCATCACTACCAGCAACATCATCATCATCATCATCATAAGCTCCTCATTAGTCATCCACTACAATATCACATGCAAATGTAGTAATAAAAAGTATTCTAAAAATAGTAATAATAATAACAACAATACCACTACTATTACTACCGATTAAAATAATAATAATAACAACAAAGACAACAATATAGGATAATTTTAAAGGCAGCTTGTACGTATGCTGGTGTCATGGCCGTCCAATGAATAAACAACAGACGAGAACAACGAGATTGGCCTGATGCATTTATTCATCCAATCACAAATAACCAACCCACCAATCAAAATCAGTCCACTGAATAATTAACCAATCACAAAAAGCCGGCCAACCAATCCCACTCAATCAATCAATCAACCAGCCAACCAATCAATCAATCACTGAAAGCCCGACTACTCGACGAAAGCCAGCTAGTCAGATAATTATACAAATAAATCAGCTAAGTGAAGCTAAGCACATGTTCAGTTAAAACAAGAGCTGTGATGTCTGCTGTTGCTGCTGCTGTTGTTGCGGGAACATCATTGCTGGTCCTGAAACATTGGTCTGGCCTAATTTATTCTGCTGCTGCTGCTGTTGTAGTTGTTTTATCGACGGAGCAGTAGCTTTCTGCTGTTTGCTTCCCAGGTTGTCCAGGGAGATGTTCACCCCGGCACCCACCCACACACTCCCAAGTTTCAAGTCGTCCAGAGATGAGGCCTGCATAGTTCATTGGTCGTTTGAGCGAAGAAGTTAGTGGGGGGAAAATGAATGAGTGAATGAATTAATCAATATATTAGTGCAGTGGGTCAGTGGATGAAATACGTACAGGTTTGTTTTGATTGGTCGGATGTTGTTGTTGCTGCTGTTTGTTCAGGGCAGCTGCTGCTGGTGCTGGTCCAACTGACATGGGTTGCAGCACCGGAGCTCCCAACCAGTCATCTGTTCAATCAATAAATCAATCAATCAATTGATCAACCAATCTGTTGGTTAGTAAACTCCATCGATTTATCAGCCAGTCAAACCTTGCAAGTTGATTGAAGGTTGAAGGAATGGTTGATCATTAGCAGTAGTTGTTGTTGTTGTTGTAGAAGGCAACAGGAGATTTGGTTTTTGTTGGAACGATGAAAGTTGTTGTTGTCGAAATTGCTGCTGCTGCTGTTGAAACATCGTGGAAGCTGTTGCGAAGCTGTTGTTGTTGACGGGCTGCTGAAAAGTTGAAGACAACAAATCAAAACTAAGTGACTGTTGCTGCTGCTGTGGAAACATTGACAACGTTGTGGCTGCTGTTGCTGCTGCTGCTGAAGCTATATTGAAATTTAAATCACATAAGAGGTCGGCATTAGTGGTCGGTTTTGTTGCGGCTAATGTCGTTGCTGTATTTTTTAGCAGTTCTTGCTGCTGCAGAGGCATCAACAAAGGAGCTGGCTGTTGTTGTTGCTGCTGCTGCTGCTGTGACGCCATTGATGCTGCGGACGACAGTACTTCAGGTTTGATTCTGTTCAGTTTGAAATCAATGTTTTCTCAATGAAGTTTGATACCTTGTATGAAATAATACTACAATAATAATACTGAAGTTTGATACCATGTATGAAATCAATCAATCAATCGTGTGTGAAATAATACTACAATAATAATACTGAAGTTTGATACCTTGTGTGAAATAATACTACAATAATAATACTGAAGTTTGATACCATGTATGAAATCAATCAATCAATCATGTATGAAATAATACTACAATAATAATACTGAAGTTTGATACCTTGTGTGAAATAATACTACAATAATAATACTAATACTAACGAGAAAGTAATGGGTCTGGCTGTCTTTGCTTTGCCAGCTGCTGAGTTATGAATATAATATAAAGAGAATTAATTCTATAGGTGAACCTATATAATAATGATATAACCATCAAGACAAGTACCATCGTGTAAGCACCATCATAACTGTCATCCTCCTCCTCCTCATCATCATCATCATCATCGCCATCATCATCACCACCATCGTCATCATCATCATTATACTGACCAGTAGAAGGTCCGTGATGAAAACCAGTAAAATCATCATCGTCGTCGTCGTCGTTAGCACCATCAGCAAAGTAACCCAGTTCGACGTTAAAATCTAATCCCCCACCATCAATTTTAGTGGCATCGCTAGCGCCGTCATTTACAAACTCAGCAGATTTGAAGTCAGCGAAATCCCCATTAGCGTCGTCCTTTTTGGTCGTTGTTGTGGTTGCCGCTTTTGCTACTGCTTTCTGCTGCTGCTGTTGTTGCTGCTGTCTTCTAGCCGGAGTTACGGCGTTTGATGTTGTCGTTGCGGCTGCGGTAGATCTATTGGACTTTGAGGCTGACGGTGCCTGAAGTATTAAATTATTCATGCACGCCTTTGAATGATCTCCTCATTTGAATCATTTCCCTCATTCATTCATTATTATTATTATTATTAGCTATTGTCAGTAGTAGGAATATTAGTAACAAACAAACAAAAACAAGCAAACAAACAAACAATCAGACAAACTAACAAACAATCAAACAAACAAACAAACAAACAAACAATTAAACTAGCTAACTAACATTATCTTGAACCCTCTTACTACCGGCGCTGTTGTAAGATCTCTCTCTCTCTTTATTACCAGCACTACTACTACTACCATCAGCAGCACCATCCCTGTACTCATTGTAGTGGTTGTTGTACTTTCCATTGCCACTCCCATCGTACCTACCCTCCCTTCCATCATCATCTCTCCAGTTACTCGATCCAGTACCTACGCCGTTGTACCGGTCGCCATCGTCATCGTATAGATCGTTGCTACTGAATGAATGCATGGATGAATGAATGCATGAATAAATGAATGAATGAATGCATGAACGAATGGATGAATGAATGCTGGATAAAGTGAAAAAATAGAACATGAATGAATGAATGAGTGTTGAAAAATGAATAAATAGACGACTGAACAAACAAAAAGAGACAGATAGGCAATATGGTATGTACTAAAGAATGAATTTAAATTGTAAAGATGTAGAATTCTATGAATGAACGAATGAATGAATGAATGAACGGATGGATGAATGAATGAATAACAATCGACCTACTTGAAATCATCAGAGTTGTCAAATATTTTAATGCTGCTAACAAACTCTTTCACCTGTTATAATAGTTAACATATTTTGACCATTTTTCTATCTATCCATCTATCAATCTATTCATCAATACACTCCTTCATTAATCTTATCGTTAATTCACTCATTCAATCATTCATACATTCATCTAAGCTTATCTACGACATTATCAACTTATCCAGCAATCTCTACACTCATTCATCAATCTTTAAATAATTCATTCATTCAACTATACATACATACATATATACATACAAACAATCATTCATTCCTACGTAAATACATACCTCAATTCATCCACTCATTCATTCATCCATTAATTCATTCACTCATCCATCCATCAACAAATCAATCATATGACTTTATCAATGGCCTCTTCAGCCATTGACTTGTTTCCAGATTGCCAATCTTTGAATTCATCCAAACGAGGTCGGCCAGAGTTATAATCATCTCCTAGAAGAGAGAGTGAAAGAAAGAGTGAGAGTGAGAAAATAAGAGGAGAGAAAGAGAGAGAAAGTTAATAAATAAAAGAATGGATGGATGGGTGGGTGTGAGAATGAGTGAACGAACGAACGAATGAACGAATGAATGAGTGAACGAACGAATGAATGAATAAATCAAAAAATGAATGAATGAATGAATGAATGAACGAATGAACGAACAAATTAAAAAACGTGCAAATTAATTTAATTTTCTTTTAAGTGTTATCAACACAAAAAATTTTTGCAACTGAAACTGATAATAACATAATTATTATTTTCATTTTTAATAGAGCCATCTGTTCTTAGTAGAACAATTACAAAATTCTTAGAAATTAAAATAATGACAATGATGACAAAAGTTGATGAATAGAGTTGAATAAAATAAACAGAGACACGCCTCTTGTCATAACTGCGAACAACATTACAAACAACAACTACAACAACTAATATTAACACACAACTACCACAAACAACATCACAGACAACAACAACTAACATTAACAAACAACAACCACAAACAACTAACATTAACAACTCAACAACAACAACATCAATGAAAAAGAGAGCTGTACAGATCTTAAAATACAACACTATAAAACACAAACAACAAATCAAATACTGTCAACAATTCACAACAACAAAAAACCACAGCAGCATGCAACAACAACAACAACAATGTCTACTAACCATATCTTCCACCAAAATTGGAACTTCCTCCGACAATGCCAACATACTTATCCTTATTCTTCTTGGCCTTCTTTCGTGCCTCTCGCAAGGCATCATCATTTTGAATTAGTGACAGTATTTCTTTCACCTTTTGGCGTACTATTAGTGTGCGTGTGTGTGTGTGTATGCGTGTGTACGTTTGTATGTGAGTGAGTGCATAGATGTATGTTTAATGAAAAGAAAGTGTGTAATATGTATATTTTGTTGTAAATATGCATGTGACACTGGGCAAAAGTACACACACACACACAAACACAGGAACACACAAATAAATAAAAACATAAATATTCACACACACACACACACTCACAAACAAACCATTTATTCCCTGATCTCTGCCATATTCATCTGAAAAAGTATAATTTTCCAACATTCTGAGGTCATACGTGTGTTCGCGAGTTGACCCTATTACCCTCTCTGAACCATTGTGCATCAGGTAGTCCAACAACCTAAGAGACTATATGCAAGTGAAAGTTTTATACACATATTAATATATACTACTCTATGAGGGGGTGTAGTTATGAGGGGTTGGGGCTTCAGTCCCCCACAAACTTTTTTTTATCAAAATCGAATAAAAATTTTAAATTTAATTGAATAGATCTTTATATACAAACCTTATATATTCTCCTCCAGTTTTTCCTGTTTTCAGTCAGCATCCTCTTCCAGAGCATCCCCATAACTTCTGGAAAATGTTCATAGGTGTACGTGTATTGGGCAATTTCTTGCATGATGGGACCAGTTGGTCCCCAAGGGTCATCATTTGTGGCCTCACGCACCTTTGCCTCAACGTCCGTGTAGCTCATAACCACATTGGTCCTGATAGAAATGAATTAGGACATTCTATTAATTATTAATAGGATGAAAATTGGAATCATAATAATCCTAGTTGCTGAAATGATGAAAAAGATATATAAGAGAACATGTTATGTGCCCAACTTAAGCCTATCAAATAAAATATCTGATAATCTCATTTTTTATTTTTTAAAGTTAAACTTTTTACATCTTAAGACTTCAACGATCACTTCACTTCCTCACTCAAACAAACCACTGTCAGCTTGCCTATTTTAAACTTTTGATAGGATTTGTATTTACAAAACTTATTAAACAATTGGATAGGATTAAAGAACAGTTTTTAAGCAAATAAACGCCCAACCATCCACCACATTGGATTAATTCCAATCAGAATAAAATAAAGTATAAACTGACCAGCACACTTCAAACTACATACAACTACACCTGAACACAATTTTTAACAGCCAGCCAACAAAAACTTAAAAACCAAAACTCACACTTTATCCGCTAACTCGCGGACTTTTGACATAGTAACGTTTATCATTTTTTTAATTAACTTTAAATATTTTAGAAAATAATAATAAAAAATGTTGTAAATAAATTTAAAAAAGAAAAAAGTAAGATATTCGCTTCCAAAGTTGATAAGGTGACAACGTTGGCAAGTTTACGTTGTTTATCCTGACACCTATCGAACACACATGATCGCAGGATAAATTATCTAGCGTTTAACATCTAAGAGATTTAAATTTCAGAACATATGAGGCATAGTTCACATAGAATCATTTAATATACATAGCTTATCGCTAAAACTAGTCTAAATAATGTAATTTTTATCCTCTGTGACCATAATTTATGCTATTTTCAAATTCTAAAATCAACCATTATGACATTACTAATAATTTCAGCTGAGTTCTTCCAAAGCTAGCTCCATTCCATAATGTTTTCTCTATAAATTAATGGTCTTGGCAGTATAAAGATCGAATTTTTAACTCAAATTATCTCAAAAAAGAGTTCATTAATACAAAAAAACCCACCAAACGGCCTTCTCAGATATATTACAAAAGAATAAAAGTCAAATATAGAAATAATAACAAAACATCGATAAAAATAAAATGATATATGGCTGAAAAATGCGACAAATAAATTAAATTAGAAAAATAAATTACATAAATTCAACAGAAAAAAAAATCAATGAGATATAAAATATTTTGAATAGAAAAAAGGATAGAATATTATCAATTTATTATTATCGTCAGCAATGGAGTTTCTTCCGGCTCAAACATTCAAACATGAAACAGTAATAATGATTTCATATACACGCCTTTCTACAAACACACACACATATATATACACACACACTCACACACACATAAATACACACACACACATACAATCATGGATGTATAAAAATACAAACGTTCGTATAAAATGAAATGAATGTTGTTTACATACTCATTAAAACTGAGATCATAGAAAGAGAAAAATGTGCGAAAATACTAGCGTATATATATATATATATATATATATATATATATATATATATGGGCATAAATAGAAACGTATACATATACATATTAGGAAAATAGAAACAAACGGAAAAAAATTTGAGCATAGTATATGAAGATGGTTATGCTGTCTTGCTATCTATCTATCTATCTATCTATCTATCTATCTATCTATCTATCTATCTATCTATCTATCTATCTATCTATCTATCTATCTATCTTTGAAAAAAGGGAAATAAATAACTTTGTAAAAAATTATAGGATGGAACAAAAGTCATAATATAAAAATTATTACTATATTAATATTATTATCATTATTATTATCGTTAATTGTGAAAATTGTTGAGATAAATATAACGTATAACGAAACATGTATAGAAGCATCTATGGAATGAACCGACTGAGGATATTTTGACACACAAACAAGCACACACACACACACAAACACAGTGAAACACTTAAGAGTTTTAAGCTGGAAGTAGCAACCAGACAACATAACTGGAATATAACTAACTCAATAATGAATCAATCAATCAATCAACGAACAAATGAACGAACGAACGAATGAATGGATGAATGAACGGACAGATAAACATACAAACAGAAGAAATAGATGAACAAACCAATGGACGAATAGAATAAACATTATATAAATAATATATATATATAAACAAATCTCAGCCAAAAGGAACGTCAAATCAGTAGTACCATGAAGAAATAAACATATATGTATAATATATTATATATATATATATATATATATATATTACATATATAGGAGCACCAAACTATAAAAGTTCTATAATTAATTGCTTAGCGTACTTTGTGAATAGAACTAGGCAATGTATGTGTATGTCAATCAAAACATATGTGTATATATATACATATATATGTATGTATTCATATATATATATATATATATATATATATATATATATATATATATATATATATATATATATATA